TGACGATTAAACGGAGTGCTCTGCCCATCATACCAGCTTATTCTATGACAACACACAAATGTCAAGGTCAGACAATGAAACACATCGTTATCGACCTTGTCCTGCCTGGCGGGATGCCCGAAGAAATAGCCGCAAGGCTAGTGCCACTGTCAAGGGTCAGAGATCGCCATTCAGTGGCGATCCTGCGGGGTTTTCCGGATTCTGCTTTAAGAGTCAAGCCGAGCGCAGAACAACAAGCGGAGCTTCAGAGACTCCATGAATCAGACAAGAAAACTAAAGAGATTTTTGACCGTTTTTATCGCTATCTTTGACGGGTCTATGCGGCCTACTCATTTACCGTTTTTACTGTTGTTGTTACTAGCTTTTGTGCGTCGGCATTCTTCTTTTTTTTTTGTGTACGCGCTGTTGCAATGTTTTATGTAATTAATCAAAAACTGAATACATGCATGTCTGGTCGATATCTAGCTTATTTGACATTTCTACTTTGATTTCGATCGTTCAGTACACTTGTTATACTGACGGTCTAAGGATTTGACTTTTTTTATGAACCATTGATCCTAAGTTGGAAACTTTCAGAAAGCAGTACACTATTTGCATTGGTATTTCAATACCTTTCGAGATGTCTGTCTTTTCATTTAAAAACATATTCACTATCTACTCATAACAAAATAAAATATTTTGTTTTAGATAACATTTCCATTCACATGGCATCTCGTGAAGAAAACGATAAATTAACTGAAAAACGTGAAATTGCATGCACTCGTCAACGACTGCATCGCGCGAGTTTAAATGCGCAACAACGGCTGCTCAAACGTCAAAAAGACAATGATCGAAAACGTTTGGCACGGTTGGACGCAACACACGATCAAAAGCACATGATTCATACAAAAACCCGAAATCGTGTCCGCCGGCTTCGACTGTGCGAAGAACCATGGAAAAAACAGCATAATCGGGAGAGACAACGTGACTATATGCGTCTGATTCTCGCTACTGGAAGCGAAGGTCGAAAGCAATTAGCTCGTGAAGAAAATCGTCGTTCCACACGGAGTGCACGTTCATTGATGACAAGTGATGGAAAAGATTTATTTCGTTACCGTGATCGTGAACGAAAGAAGTTAAAAAGATTGAATGCACAAAAAGAAAAGGCACATCGTTCATCAACCGAAGAAGAAGCTGTATCTGAACCTGAACCGTCCAATTCAAGTGCCTATATCGGCGATTCGGTAAGGATTGCAGTATGTGTATTCAAAGCTATCAATCATCCTTAATGTAATTGCTTTCTTTATAGTCATCTTTGTCATGTCTGGAGAATCATACATTGAAGGAGCTACGGCCGTTCATGGAAGAAATGAACAAATTAACTGTTGAAACACAGAACTTCCACTTTGTATGAATATGTCAATATTCCTTTTTTCATTTTTGTATCTTTGTTCTGGTTTTTCAATTTTGATTCTGCATCTATTATAATCTATTATAAATTTTATGTTATTTCATTTCAAAAAATTAAAAAAGCAAAAAAAAGAAGGTCGGGGAATGTTGCTAAACCGCCTGATGATAATCCTTCAGCAAGATCGAAACCGTTTAATGTTAAACCGTATAAAAACCTCCCGATCAGTCCTATATTGGACAAGGACGAAACTCACTCTTAAATATTAAATAATTAAATATTAAGAATGAGTCGGCGTTAGTCATAACCTTCCTCGATTTTGGTCGAGTTAGAATATATTTTTCGAATCTTGGGATTGAAATATACAGCATAAAAAGTGTTGACATAATATATGAACACCCTGTATCGTATCGACGCGTTACGTTGTACGGTGCAAAGATCTCGTCGGGATCCTGACAGTTTTTGAACCCGGTGGCTCCGCTTGAGGTTGTCATGGTATATTACACTACATTCAACAGCAGACATCAACGCTGTCTTTAATTTCAAGACATCGAATGCCATATTCGGAACCAATCGGATCCGCTAACTTCCTGTCAACTCAAACCGACAGATCCTGTGTTGCGCACTTCTTTATTTTTTTTCTTACTTTTCTATGCCCATAATATATTCATCATTTTGTTTCCCGACAGCAGTACTTCAAATATGACACTGTAGAAAATAAAAACCAAGAAAATTTTCTTCTCAAATTCTTAGCGTGTTGTACACGCCTTACCTACTGGGCCCTTACTCTCCCTCGAATGCGCAGAGACAGGAGCCCCCATAAAATGAACGAAAAACAATACAAAATATAGAAAACCTATGCACGGACTGATCAGCAATGTGAGAAACTGTTGCGAAACAAACGCGGTTACTTGCGACCGATACTACAACGAAAACTAGTCCACTAGCACACCGGCCCCGATCCTTCGGTGGAGAGTCAGCTAGCGAGCGTTACTTGTGACATGGAGTAGGTAGTCGACTATGCTGAATCAGAAAATGAGTATGAGCGACCTCTACGGTGATTGCTATTGGTAGAAAATATCATTTCCGCATGAATGGATGAAAATGACATGGAGTAGGTAGTCGACTATGCTGAATCAGAAAATGAGTATGAGCGACCTCTACGGTGATTGCTATTGGTAGAAAATATCATTTCCGCATGAATGGATGAAAACGATATGTAGTAGGTAGTCGAGTATGGGGAATCAGAAAATGAGTATGAGCGGTCTCTACGGTGAATCCTATTGGAGGAAAACATGATTTCCACTTGAATGGATGAAACTGATACGGAGTAGCTAGTCGACGATGAAGAATCAGAAAATCACGATGAGCTACCCCTAGGGTCGGTTCTATTGGTCGAAATGTTCCCTTGACTGTGAAGGAAAGGGTTTTATCTAGTTAACATGCTTGTATGTATGTATGTATGCATGTCTGTATGTTTGTCCGCAAACTAGTTAGAAGCGACAGAGAAAAATTCGTATCGAAAACAGTAGAGACTCGGTTGGATGGAAATGATATAGAATTCGCCTATAGGGAATTAGGAAATCACGGTGAGTGACCTCTACGGTGCATTGCATTGGTGGAAAACATCATTTGCACCTTACTGGGTGAAAATTATATAGAATAGGTAGTCGAGTATGGGGAATCAGAAAGTGAGTGTATGTGTATCGCGGCTTCCTTGGATGAAAATGATGCGCAATGGGTAGTCGAGTATGGAGAATCAGAAAGTGACAATGAGCGACATCTACGATGGATCCTATTGGTCGAAATCACCAGGTTCACTTGACACGTTCAAAATGATATTGAACAGGTGTTCAACTATGGAGAATCAGAAAATGAGTGTGAGCAACCTCTGCAGTCGATTCTATTGGTCGATGACTTCATTCTCTCCACCGGAGGGGAGAGTCTTGCAACCTTTAACCCGATTCACCGATTGGTCAAGTATAACTATCCGATCCATAAGCAGAGTGACAGATGGCGCTACGTGATGGACGTACATACCACAGATATTTGAACACTGTGTGACGGACGTACAAACACACAGACATATGAGCACGCTGTGTGGCGGACGTGGAAGCCCACAGACATTTGAACGGTGTGTGACGGACGTACATTACGTATTGCGTAAGATATTGTCGACAGGGCGCAAGCGAACGCCGACCGAAGGGAGGTGTGAGCGTTGCCTGTGATTTAAAGCAATAGATGGTCGTTGTAACTGTGTGACAGATGTACATGCGCATGGACATATGCAGACTCTGCGACCGACGTACAAACACATAGATACTTAAATAATGGATGGGCACATTTGTAGTGTGACTGGCTTACAAACACACCGGTAATAGCGCGACGGACGTACATACAACTCTTACATGACATCTTGTGGAAAGGCCGCAAGCGAATGCCGACCGAAGGGAAGTGTGAGCCCTATCTGTAATTCAAACTTCTTCTAAGGTTGTCTGATATGACTATATTGAATGGTTGGTATATGAAAGGTTGTAATGGGCTTATGCCGCCTTCTAAGAATAAGGCTAAACTATCCTGTAGCGCCGCTGGTCATTAAAAACTAACAATTTCACATTATACAGTAATATATTCATAACATAGAAAATGAATGACATGGTTAATGCTGGATCTCAATAACTCAGTGGTTCGAGCTTTGGAACGGAAAACCAAAGGTCCTGGGTTCGATTCCCAGTTGAGACCATGTTTTTCATTGTTTTATGATAACAGAAAGAGACGCACTCTCACTCTCATACATTCTAACATACGGGGCATACTGCTCTGGCGAACGCCGAACGAAGCGACGGATGAGCCCCATCATTCTCGTAGATCATTGAGGGTCGTTATAGACATACAGATAGTCATGGGTTAGTGTGACGGTCGTACATGCGGACAGACAGTTCAACATTCTATGACCGTCATACATAGACACAAATATTAGTGTGAGAGACGTACAGGAACCTAATCGAGAACATATTGCAAATAGTTCTTAGCGAACGCCGACCGCAGGGAGGCGTGAGCCTTATTTGCAATTCAAAGTCCCTGAATGTCGTTCGTTATTACTGCAACGGAGGTACGTACATTCAGATTCAAGTGTGACTGACGAATGTGGAGAGAGACATTAGCGTGAGGCTAGTACATACACACCTTATTGTGAATAGTCGTAGACACATACACACATTCCATAACTTATTGCGGATAGGTACGAAGCGAACGCCGAGCATACGGAGGTGTGAGTGTTATTTTTGATTCGAAGTCATCGATGGTCGTGCGCAGATGTAGGTCGCTAAAGTAAAGGGACCGGTCGGGTGCAGACGAGCGGTACCTTGTGTGGATATGCAAGGAGCAATGAACAACACCGCCAATGTGACTGATGAGCTGTGGGTGGAGAGTCAGCGAGTGAGCGCGCGTTACGTGACGAACGTACATACACACAGACATTTGACCGCTGCGTGACGGTACACATTAGCGCGATGGATCTACACACGCAAACACAGAGACATCCTGTATAATCTCCAGGGAGTGCCGACCGAAGGGAGACGTGAGCTTTGTGTTTGATTCAGACCCGTCAAAGATCTTTTGCAGATCACATACTTTAAAGTCAGCACACCGAGCCGTGTGGAAACGATATGGAATATGTGGTCGACTATTGGGAATCAGATAATTGCCTTGGCTGTATAGCAACTGCTTCTGTAAACTAAGTTAGAAAGGATGGACGTTCTCATCGCAAAAAATATGCTTCAATTCTGTAGTAACAAGATCGGGTTACAACAGAATGAATAATAATTCCGACACATTCATTCGACTTACACGCAATGGACTAAGTGAATCGATGCGATTCACGTTATTTATTTTCATAGGCATCCAAGAACATCATTAAAGTTCATACGAAAACAAATCACTTTTTCCGACGTAGTCTATCGAGAGTCTGTCGAAACATCACTACGTCAGGGTGGTTCGACTGTAAGGTCTCACGAACAATCTCGACGGCACGCTCGGCCTGTTCCGCCGCCTTATCGTGTTCATTGAGACCTTCGAACACCCTTGCCATGTTGTGGTAAGTATGAGCCAAATCTGGATGATTTGGAGCAAGAGTTTTTTCGCGGACTTCGAGTGTTTTCTTATGAAACGAGAGCGAAGTTGAATAGTCTTTCTTCTCTCGATACACTTCACCTATATTACTGTAACTGGTGGCCAAATGCGATTGATCGCAAACAACTTGTTCTTGAATATCGATTGCTTTTTGATGAAATGAGAGTGCCGTGGAGTAGTCTCCAGTCAACCGGTGTACATCACCGATGTCAGAATACGTGATAGCTACGTAAGGGTGCTTTCGGGGGAGTCTTTTACTGTCATTTTCAAGCGTCTTTTGAAAACATGAGAGTGCAGCCCGAAAGTCTTTCATCGATCGATGTACTCTGCCTAGCCGACTATATGTGGAAGCAAAATTTCGATGATCGTTTGGCAGTGCTGTTTGTTGAATTTTCAGACATTTTGTTAGAGCCGAGAGTGCACACAAATACTTTCCCGTGTTGTTATGCACGAGACCAATGCTACTGTACGTAGTAGCCAAATCGGGGTGATTCGAAGGAAGAGATTTTTCTCGAATTGCAAGCGACTTTTGAAAGAACTCGAGTGCTCTGGAGTACTCTCCCAACGAGTCATGCACAAGACCAATATTATTGTAGGTAGTAGCCAACGATGGATGATTTGGAGGGAGAGCTTTTTGTTCAATTTCAAGTGTCTTTTGATAGAACTCGAGTGCAGTCGAGTACTCTCCCATGTGGCCATGCACAAGACCAATATTATTGTAGGTAGTAGCCAACGATGGATGATTTGGAGGGAGAGTTTCTTGTTGAATTTCAAGTGTCTTTTGGTAGAACTCGCGTGCAGTCGAGTACTCTCCCATGTGGTCATGCGTAAGACCAATATTATTGTAGGTAGTAGCCAAATCGGGGTGATTCGGAGGGAGAGTTTTTTGTTGAATTTCAAGTGTCTTTTGGTAGAACTCGCGTGCAGTCGAGTACTCTCCCATCATGTGATGCACTGAGCCAATATTATTGTACGTAGTAGCCAGCGAAGGATGATTCGGAGGGAGAGTTTCTTGTTGAATTTCAAGTGTCTTTTGGTAGAACTCGCGTGCAGTCGAGTACTCTCCCATGTGGTTATGCACAAGACCAATATTATTGTAGGTAGCAGCCCGCGAAGGATGATTCGGAGGGAGAGTTTCTTGTTGAATTTCAAGTGTCTTTTGGTAGAACTCGAGTGCAGCCGAGTACTCACCCATCTTGTCATGCACTGAGCCAATATTATTGTAGGTAGTAGCCCGCGACGGATGATTCGGAGGGAGAGTTTCTTGTTGAATTTCAAGTGTCTTCTGATAGAACTCGAGTGCAGCCGAGTACTCACCCATCTTGTCATGCACTGAGCCAATATTATTGTAGGTAGTAGCCAGCGAAGGAGGGTTCGAAGGGAGAGCTTTTTGTTTAATTTCAAGTGTCTTTCGGTAGAACTCTCGTGCAGTCGAGTACTCTCCCATGTGGTCATGCACAAGACCAATATTATTGTAGGTAGTAGCCAAATCGGGGTGATTCGGAGGGAGAGTTTTTTGTCGAATTTCAAGTGTCCTCTGATAGAACTCGCGTGCAGTCGAGTACTCTCCCATGTGGTCATGCGTAAGACCAATATTATTGTAGGTAGTATCCAGCGAAGGATGGTTCGGAGGGAGAGCTTTTTGTTTAATTTCAAGTGTCTTCTGATAGAACTCGAGGGCAGTCGAGTACTCTCCCATGTTGTCATGCACTGAGCCAATATTATTGTAGGTAGTAGCCAGTGAAGGAGGGTTCGAAGGGAGAGCTTTTTGTTGAATGTCAAGTGTCTTTTCATAGAACTCGAGTGCTGCGGTGTGATCACCTTTCTGATTCTTTATACATCCAAGCTCATTATTGAGATGAGCAATTTCTGCCACATTGTTTTCAGATGTCGACTTGAGTAATAACGTGTATTCTTTTTCTGCGGTGTCGAATTGAGCAATTTCCCGCAGCAAATGTCCCAATCGGTGTCGCTCAGTCGATCCTCTTATCGCTTGTCGCAAATTTTCCGTCAGGGCTGTGAGTGCTTCGTCGTTGTCACTTGTGACTGTCAGATCTACTTGCCACAGTCGACCTTCAATCAGTTGTATGTCGCCAATTTGGAAAACTGTGTTCATCGAGAATAGAATCTCGTTTTCGATGTTCTTGAAGTAACTGATGGTATCCAGTGGAGCGAACGGAGTTGATGTCAGAGTAGGATCAATTTGAATTTCAAAGAGAATTCCAGTCAGATCCGGGTCCTGAGTGGCACTCTCTGCAAAGCTAAGAGACACTTGCCGATTGGTGCTCGTCGAGAGAAAACTGTTGAACGACAACAAACGACCTCTACTGTTGCGCATCTTCTCGAAGTCGCTGGTCAGCATTCCTTGACCTCGATAGGTGGTAAATGGAGCTCGAGAATCCGATGCTTCGTCGTGCAGTGCTTTAATATGCTGGTGGAGATCTCGTAGGAAGAAGCCCATCTTAATAATGATATCAACGTCTTGCATTCGCAGGGCTCGATTGAGCGTGCCACATATGAAACAATCTCGCGTGTACCACCAGATGGGTGATTGGAGATGATAGTCTCGTTCAAATTCGTCGATTATTTTCAAGTGATTGCTGTTGCCGTTGAATAGCTCTCGGCAGAAATTAATAAGTTCGTTCTTTGCACGTTCATCATAGTCTATGTTGAGTAGGATCTCTTTGAGCAGTTGTGAGTACATGAATGACTGATCGAGCTCATTTAGATCTCTATTGGAAGACACAATACTGATGGGGTGTAAATCGTGGTCACACTGGCGAGTGTCTCGTTTGAGTGAGTCACAGATGGGTTCAATCTGGGTAAATACACCCTTAACTTTGCTCCAATCCTTTTCCCACTGTTCATGTTTCAGCGTGTTGTTACACAACACATAGATGGAGCTGAGCTGGGACCAGTCATGGACGAGAGGTACGAACTGTTGGCCGAGAGCACCTGACACAATCAGGAAAGGTTTTTCATCCATAATCTCAGTGAGGAAATCGGCGCACTTGTCAGTATCCGTAAATATATTGATGGAATTAACAATGGCGCGAAGTTGAATGATGGATTGCTGAAAATCCGAAGTGGACTCGTCGATGTTCGAGGCTAACCAAACCACAATAAAATTTTCAATGATACGAAGTCGTGATGTCGCCGTCGATCGTGTTTGTGCATTGAGACTTTCGTAGGACGAAACCGTCACAAGGCCGCTGTTTGATTTTGGAGCCGCACTTACTTGTTTGGATGATGTTATTTCCAATCTCCAGCTCTCTTTTTCCATCCCACACCGACACTGTACACTAGAAAATACATTATAGAAAGAAACAGGCGTTTTTTTAGGAAAGGCGGTGAAGGAAGAGTCTTGGAGGCATGTTTAGAGCCAAAGCTTTTCCATAAGAAGTTTCTGAAGCAGATTTTTAGGAGATCTTTTTACGAAGATTAAAGTTTTCAGGCTGTTTCACGTAACATTAAAAAATTCACTAGTCACTCAAAAGACATCAGAACGAGTTCAAAACTTCAGGATACGATTATTGTTGTCCGCTAAACGTAAATCTGTTTCAGTTAGTGCTGTGAGTGACGAAAATTTCAACTATCAGAAGTGGAATCAAAAGATACTTGTCGGGGTTTTTTCAACATCGTCCTTGCGTCACGCTTGGATAGTGCGAGAACCAAATAATGACAAGAAAAAACTACTGTGTTGATGACGACCGATAAGGCCGATCATTCACTTAAAAGTAAAGACATGCACTGACAATCACGACATTCATCGTCTAATTGTTCTTTTCAAAAGCAAATATAATCACATTCATTCTATAGAAGAAACGTTCCTTTATATACACTGCAAAATAGAAATGAATGATGAAATACTCAAGTGTTTTCGACTTTTTACGAAATCTTGGACGAATCTCAAACCGATAGAAGATCAGGTTTTTAATGGAAATTCTGTGAAACCCATTAACAGAAATATGCCTTTTTTCAGTTTTTCCGATCTTATAATGAATCACTCTCCTGTGTAAAAAAACTATGCTTCATTCAAAGACTCAGTAGATAGTGAATGTCTGTTGGCCAAATGGCTAAAATGTGAATGAAAAACAATCGTAAGTTGGTATTCTTATTTTCAACTGATAATAACAATAAAAGCTTATCCTCAAAATCTGAGCGCGTAGAGAAGTAAAATAATTTTTGCATTTTACGGTTCTCCGCGTTCCCACTCGTAATGGCTGATTTCTGTGTATCGGAGCGGAGACCGAAACGGGTCGGGTTCGGGCCGACGTTTGAATTGTAGTGATCGTTGCAATCTACGCTAGCTATTTAACCTATGAGTCATCATATACACTTCACCGACTAAATCACGTTTAGCGGACAACAATAATCGTATCCTGAAGTTTTGAACTCGTTCTGATGTCTTTTGAGTGACTAGTGAATTTTTTAATGTTACGTGAATGTAAGCGTCTGCTTACACTAGCAGTGAAAAAACCACTCAGAAAAACCACTGCTTCTCCCTTTACGATTTCGCAAAAATATGCGACCGTACTGTGATGTAAACTAAATATATATATTTTAAAAATACTAAAACGCACACGATATATACAGTCGAAAAAAAGAGTGATACCAGAAAAAAAAAGAAGAATAACACTACTGTATGTAGAGACTAAAAATACGAAGAAAGAAATATATCGTCGTGTATGAACAGTAAAAACGAGAATCATTATACATACGCTTAATACTGTACATATACAAAGAAAGAAAAGAATGGAAAAAAAGAATGTCCATTGTGAACGACCTGGACAGGACAAGAAAAGAACGTGACATCTTGTGTTAGCGGCACGTGCCGCTAACAGTCCTCCCCGCAAAAAAACTGTGTGTGTCCGCGCACACTAGAGTTTAAAAGCAAAATGGTCAGCTGAGAGAGCAACTGTTCATGTCTTGAAAAAGTAACTGTCCCAAAAATGCCATGCAAAAATAAGCCAAGCCAAAAT